CGGTATATTATTTTTTGCCCATTATCACTTTCACTCCTCGTCTCAAGGACTAATTCTTTATTCGTTTCCAGGGTATTGCGTATCCTGGCACTGTTTGTTTGTTCTTGATGTATCAAGATCTTTGCAATACACCTATCTTTATTTCCCGTTTACTCTTCTCAGAAAAATTTTAAAAGATATTGTTAGTTTCCACCAGGATGTCTCTTAGAAGTTTGTGTTATTTTAAAGTGAAAAGTATAGTTCTTTTTCCAGGAATATGGTGGTTTCGGGATGTAAAGGAATCGATGATAAATTCACTACTTCCTTCCGATCGTCATGCTGATAAGTAGGTGTTGTCACCTCCGAAACCACGTAAACTCAGCTTACTGGCTTTAACTTAGTCTGTCTTATAATCCCAAACTTTGCGTTTTTTTATTAAGTCAGAGATCCTATGTGATTTCCTATAAATCATGTTTCCGGAATCAGGATCCTGGCTAGATCACATCGGAGCTTTGACTTTATATCTATAAGCTTAAATAGTTTATTTGTCTCCGTATCATATGTCTCCCCTTGTTCCTGACTAGAAGCTTGGTGGAGATACTCATTGACCCTATCCAAATGTTATGACTTAATGTCACAGAACTTAGGAGTCATACCATAACGTTTACAACAGTTTAAAAAATTCATATGGCAAGATTGGCTTTCACTTGTCTTTTTTATCCGGCTGTATTTAGTGCTTTGTCTGACAATATTAATACCATAGTTTAATCGAAGATGTAAAGACCAAAATAACGTACGTTCTAGTAAGTCCCCCTGGCAACAGCACCAAGTTGTGAGAACGAAATCAGCTTACTTCTATAAAACAAAAAGAGATTGCGACCATACCGGGTGCCAATAGCTTCCATATTTCATTTTTACTGTAAATTGAAGTTTGCTCTTAATATTTAATCGAAGGCAGAGTCGGCAAATCTTTCTGACACGAAAGGACTGGATATTTTATCAATGTGCAGTTGATCATATCTATACCCTTTTGATAGGAACTGTAATACCTGTCCTACTTCCTGGATGTTTTTATTCAATAAAATCACTTTAATCTATTAAATAACACACTCAATCACACATAACATATGCCTGTCTGTACAAATGGATTTGTAGGTATTTATACTCGAAAATGTACCTTTAATATTTTTACATCCTCGTATAGTATACACATTGATCTAGCTTTCTTACAGCTCACCCACTTCCTTTAACCACTCTGCCGCCGGCCTTGGCAACAGTCCTAGCTTGTTCAGGGCCTCGGGTTTACGGACACTTACTTCCGCCCTTACAGTACAGGCTATAGGCTCTCTAGATGGCGAGGCTCTTGTTGATCCTATCGCTTATGATTTGATGAACACGCCTGCAGGCCATCTGGCCGAGTGCCGCTCCATTACGCGACGTCAGCGTGCTTATCGTACCTTCTTCACCTGTATGGAAGTCAGGTAGGTTGATCACAACTTTTCTTGTATTTCTTTCTTTTCCACTTATCCATTATGCTTTCTACTATTCTCCTATCTATTTTTAATGTTTCCTTTCTTCATAGACTTACTAATCTATCCTCTACACGACTTTCAGCTATAATTTTTTTAGATAAGGAAATAAGCAGGATTTCTTAAAATTATTTTACAAATTGTTGTTGTTTGAGAATATTAATTTTACGTGCTCGTAAATTAGCCTTACTGGATACTGAAGGATTTTTGCCTTTGATTTGTATGAGCTTTCCTTTCTCATGCTTTACATCGCTATACATCGTCTGGTATCGAAATCAAATCTAGGTGAGCTGAGGACTTTGACGACTTAACACGCATTCAAAACCCCAGTTCGGTTTTACTTCGGTTTGCTATGAAGCAAATTTTAAAATCCCCTCTAATCTTTCAGACGAATTGAAGGGTACAACGGCATGATTTATTGAAATATTCTTAAAAAGCGCCATCTAGATCTTTTTTAAAA